ATAATATTTATTAATTATAGAAAATAATTATATATTATAATCTTTAAGTTTTGATAAAATATTATAATAAATAAATATGTTTATTTATAGAAAAATAGGTTTTTGAAATGTAATTGGAGTTGAACTTTTTAGTGTTTAATAAATCTATAACTTTTAATGTCTTTAAAAGCATGACGATATTTGTACTCCTATCTATATGTTAAACACATTCTTTCCTATCTACTATTCATTACAACACAGTAACTATATTATCATCTAACTTTATTTGTATTTTTATTCTTTATTATTTTTATTATTAATAATCCTTTTTTTTTCATTTAATCAAACTTTTATTATTATTATTATTATTATTATTATATAACAATACTTCTTTTATATACTTTTATTACAACAACATTTTTATAAATAAAACATAATACAATCTAAACTAATTCGTATTCAAAGTTTTAATAAAAAAACGACGAGTTATTATCTAATTTTTTATAGATTGCCGAAAAACTGAAAAAATTAATATTTGAATATTCAAAAACTTAAAATGAGAATTCATAGGTTATTCTTTAAGTTTTAAAGTTGGAAAAAAGATAATCGATTATTTTCTGAATTTTTAAAATTACAGAATGATTAATGATATATTCTATAAAAATATAAATAAAATAAAAAATAAAGATTAGTACATGAATTTTTAATAAATTTATTCGATAAAAATATATAAAATTTTAAATTTAAATAAACTAAAATAAAACACAATTCTAAATTCCTACAAATTTAATCAAATCCTTGGAACCAAACAACATGGAATCGGATTAATATAAGAGTTTGGTCCCTATACTTAGCTACCATGGGTAGGGTATCATCCTATCCAAATGCTATTTCTTTATAAGTCATTTAATACCTATGACGTTGACCATTCCTATAGAACCGTGGGACCATTTACAATTCAACACAAACTTAATGTACGCAGGATATTCAATCTTTTCAAAATTTAATATTTGAAAAGAATAATTTTATAAGAAATTTTATTAAAATAATTATTTTTTAAGATTAGTTTCATTATTTGACATTTTTCTTTTAAAGTTTATTAAAATACATAGGTTTGTAAAAACTCACGTCTATAATTGCAGACTCAGCTAAAATACAAGAAAATTGCATTTCTCATTCAAGTTCGTAAAAATTTATATTTTTCACCTGGGTCCGCAAAAGAAAAAATTGTGGACCTAAGACTATTTTGATAAACCTTGTGAAGAAGTGGTTAAGAGGTGAAACCAATCGATGAAAATAGCTATTTTAATTAATTTTCGTAATTTATCGTAAAATAAACATAAAACTCGTTCCAATTTTTAAATTATGAAAGGAAAACCTACGTCAATTAGAGTTTATTATGATAACATATAGAATTTGGTATTGTAAAGTAGAATGAGTTCACGTGAAACCATTCTGTTTTCGTAAGATCCGTTGAAAGCGCATTGTTGTATTTGAAACTTTATAGCAAAAAATTATGAAGGTAAAAAGAATCTGAACCTTCACAATTTTATAGTGTTTTATGTAAAAATATAGTCTCGTAAATCTCACGAAAACATGTTGATCTCATATGGTATTAAGTCTTGTAAAATAAGTAAATATATTAAAATAAAACCTTTTTTATTCTAATTTTGGAACCTTTTTCGAATTTTTTTTTTGAAATTTTCAACAAAATATCTCAAACAATAATACTTCAATAAATAAACAATATATTATTGTTTATAAATTGATAATATATCTGTTTTTTTTACAAAACTATAATACGTTTTTTAAAATATATAAAAAATACAATACGTTCAATTAATTATATCAAATACACGGTAAATTTTTTGAAATTTTCGAGAGCAGTTTCATAAAATAAAAATAAAATACGTTTGAGAATATTTGATTCCCATACTTTTTCGTTTTCAACGGTTTTTATCCATTTTATTTAAAAACTATAGTTTAACCATGATGGTGTGCAAAAACATTTGAATTTGATTTCTCTCTGAACAGATATTAACTTTTAGCCTTAGGAGTATTTTGGTCTTTTTAATTTTTTTTTATTTTTTATCAAAAATAAAAATTATATAATTTATATATTAAGATGTTAATTAATACATATATATTTAAATATTTATGCATCCACGCTTAGCAGCGGATCCATATTGTTTTCAGATTCTAGTATACCATATTGATTTTGTTATCAAAACATGGACTTGTTTTAGTTGTTATGGTGTGAAGCAAACCTGATGATGGACGTTGTCATTCGCGGCAACAGAGATACAGTACATCTGGATCTGTTTTAGGTTCGATTTAGTACTCATAATCAATTCGTTGTTGCATTGATGCAAATGGGTAGGCATAGTTGATTCAATGGTCGATCTTATTAGATTAAACCTGAACAACAGCATAAGGGACGATAAAAGTCGATCAACGTACGTTTATGCCAGGGTGTTTTAGGTCAGAGATGAATGGAGGGGGAGAAAGGAGAGGGAGGAGACCAGTGATGACATAGGTTGCTCTAACAGTGGATCCAAGATGTTTACCCAGTGGCGGATCCAATTTACAATTTAAAATCACAATAAACTATAAAATTAGCATCGATAGAGATAGAAAATAAAACAACACTTGAAACAATATTGCCATTTCAAATCATCGACTTCATAATTGAAATGATTTACGGTATATAAAAATCAATAATTTTTAAAGGCAACTTGTCTATTGTTATTCTATCGAGTTTCAATTGTACCAAATACAGATAGACAACTTTTTGGTCATGTAGTGCTTTATTATCATATTTATCTAATCATATATGCATACTAAACACTACTACATTTTTTATATTTATGTTTTATGATATTGGCTGAACCGGGTAGTCGTGATTGTCCGATTCGAAGACTTGGACCGGCACGTGAATGAAAATAGTGTGAACCGGAGTAAATGCGTTTGTTGTTGAGTTGACCCCACCACCACCGTTAAATAAAATCTCGATTTTCTGCGTTCAATCCCTCGCCATCCCATTTTCCGCAGTTGCTACTCTCTCTTTCTCTCACTTCGGTTGCCGGCCGGAGTTTCTCCATCTTCCTTTTACGAACACACAAATCTCCGATCATCCTTCAGTATCAATCAATTGGAAATGGCTTTCGAGAAGATCAAAGTTGCAAATCCCATCGTTGAGATGGACGGTGAGTTGATATAATATATATATATATACATACATATATCATTCCAGTTCTCGTACCTTTTAATCTTCCGATCTAACAGATTATGAACTAGTTTAAGTTAAACTGAATGGATCGAGTGTTCAAGGAAAAAGAAAGAAAGGAATGAAACAGATCGATGTTCTTTTTTCATTTAGTTGCACGTTTTAATGATCTGATCATGTGGTTGATGCGTTTTACTTGTTTTCTCTTCGGATTTAGTACTTTGCTGTTATCCTTTTGAACAAGCAACTTTGCTAGCGACCCCATTTTCAGTTTTTTCGGTGGTCAGCCATCAGGGTTTGTCTTATTTGGCAGGAAGTGTGATTTTGTATACGTCTATTACATTTTATCTAGATTTTTAGGTATATAACCTTAAATTTGATTTTAATTAAATCCTTGACACGAGTATAAACCCATTTTTTCTTATATAGCAGGAGGTCATGAATTTAACTAAAAACTCATTCAAGCTCATTTACCCAAATGACTAGTTTTATTTCTCGAGTTTACAAATTACGTTGGTTTGCACATGGATTATTGAGGGATGCTCTGTTGTCTAATTGCTCTCTCCCCACACATTAGAGCTACTGGTTTGACGGTTTTGGTGGGTTAAGTTTCCAAAATCACTATTTTATACTATTTTCCCATATCTGGATTTATATATGAACTTGTTTCCATGTCTAAATCTTAATTTCAGTGTTGCTATCAAATTTTATAACGTTTGCAATTGGCTGCTTGGGTTAGCCTCTGGAATCTGCGAGTTTGAAAGTAGGACTTCTCATGCTGAAATCTGTTCTAATGGTAAAAACAAGGGAAATTGATCAAGTTAGCCATTTTGGACGGAGCTCTTCATTTTATCCCATTTTTTCCGATATGAACCAAAATAACCAAGATTTGCAAGTGCCGATTTCGCCATTTTTCAAAATGTACTTTTTATCCATAAAGTTTATTCCGCAAGCCTCTAAGGAGATTTCGCAAGACGCCATGCCCATTTTGCAAGCCGACCCCCCAGACTCATATTTAGTTCAGAAAAAGTAGATTCCGCAACTTGCGAAATAGGCACTTGCAAAATCTTAGCTATTTTGGTCCAATGTGAAAAAAGTGGGCTAAAAAGTGAAAGATTTTTCCAAAATGACTAGTTTGTTTAATTTCTCCAAAAACAAGATGGTGGAAGCTGTGAGACTTGTCTGCTAATTTCATGACTGGTATTTAGTCATCATGATAACACTTACTTATGCTAGCCTTATTGCCAATTAAGTTGTCGTTTTGACAATGCTGTAGGTGAAAGAGCTCATTGAGCATATTTACATGTATAATCAATTCAGTTCTCATTTTTCTCTATGAAGTTAGTAACACTTCTCTGCATGTTATTTGATAGTTCATGATATGGTTGCTTGCCAGCTTGATGGCTTACAACTGTTGAGAACTTAACAGTCTTAAGTCATTTTGGATTAGTTCATCACCTACAAAGATGTTTCTGTCATTGCAGAAGAAAACTCAATGTGTATTGGTGGCATCAAATTAGACCATAAAATCTTCAAATTTTATTACCTGGTTGCGTCCCAGGTTGCTTGATACTCCTAGTAGATGTTATAGAAATATAGGAACTCTTTCAAGATATGTTTAATACCAACCTTTTATGTAGTGCATGCCGATGCATAGACATGTCTGTCACATTCCATTAGTCATAATATGGCGGACAGACCAGGATGAATGATGTTTGTATGTGACTCAAAACAAACATAATGTGTTCAATTGTTCATCATATGACTATTCATGTGTTGTTGCAAGATTCTGTGACTGAAATCAGTTGCAGATGCTATAGAAAGATAGGAACTCTTTCAAGATATGTGTAATCCCAACCTTTTATATAGTGCATGCCAATGCGTAGACATGTCTGTTACGTTCCACTAGTCATAATATGGTGGACAGACCAGGACGTATGTGTTTGTATTCGCCTTAGAACAAACATAATGTGTTCAATTGTTCATCGTATGACTATTCTTGTTTTGTTGCAAGATCCTGTGATAGAAATCAGTTGCAGAATATAGTATAATACTATGTAGGGGTTTAATGGATTTAGGTGGATCTGATTCAGTCCAATCATCCATTGGATGTTGGATTTTGCCATCTGATGTGATCCAATATACATCAATTAATTCAATTTTGGACAACCGATATAATACTATTAATCCAATGGATAATTAGATTGGATCGGATAGTTCCATCAATTGGATATTACTATTGATTACCCATCCAATATTCTGATCTATTTTTCAAGTGGTTTATCCACCATCTCAACCAATTATTCATATACTTTAAAAACACTACTTACAAATATCAACTAAAAACAATATTGTATTAATTAATGGGATGATGAAATGATTGAATCGGTTTGGTTTTATTGTATTTTGGACAGTCATCTAGAATAGACCAATTCAATTTGGATGTTAATATTCTGGATCCAATCCAATTAGGATACCCAATTATTGTTGATCGGTTCTAATTGGATCTGTCAACTCTAATTGGATAGGTAAACTCTAATTGGATCGGATGACTTTCTGCATACCCCTAAAATCTAAATGGTAAACCAAATGTTCCAGAAAATCTAAGTGCAGAATAAGTGGGACTGTAAGGAATAACAGTCTACAGCAAGTAATGTCTGTTATTTATATTTGTAGAATGTAGTGGCTGGACTTGTAACAACTTGTATTTTTGGTGCAGGAGATGAAATGACTCGCGTCTTTTGGGAATCAATTAAGAATAAGGTTGTCTCTTAATTCTTTTGAGGCCAATATTCATTATGTAAATATCATTGCTAATATGTAGTTATTCTGTTTACATCTTGCAGCTCATCTTTCCCTTCGTAGACCTTGACATAAAGTATTATGACCTTGGCCTTCTTAATCGTGATGCCACCGATGATAAAGTTACCATAGAAAGTGCTGAAGCTACTCTTAAGTATGTCTTGCTTATCTGTACTTTCTGCACCATTCTGTTTAGCATAGCAGATATACAAGCCTCTTTGTTGTCTCTTTGTAATTTTTGTTGCTACTTTTAGGGAAATTGCCCGAAATAGCCAAATGGCTCCCTTGGACCAAAATAGCCAACATTCATAAGTGCCCATTTTGCAACTTTGCGAAGTGTACTCTTTTTGAATTAAATATGATTTTGGTGGGGCCGGCTTGCGAAATGTGCTTGGCGACTTGCGAAATGGCCCCCAGAATTATGTTTTAATATAAGTACATTTTGCAAGTTATGAAATGGGCACTTGCAAAATCTTGGATATTTTGGGACAGATTGGAAAAGAAGTGGGATAGAAAGTGAATAAGGGGGAGCCATTTGGCTATTTTGGTCAATTTCCCCTACTTTTACCATATGCTAAATCTCTGTTACCCTTCTAATTCTTCGACACTTTCACCCGTGAGTCCATGACTTGTTGGCACATGTTCCTTTTCTCTTATTCTTGTTTTACTGGTTTCTGGCTTTGTGTTTTACTGTTTTTGCTGCTCAAGCTGATGTGTTCGCTTCAACTTTAGGTACAATGTTGCAATTAAGTGTGCCACCATTACTCCAGGTATATACAAATTATAAACCTATATTGCAATTCTATGGAATGTCGCCTTTGTGCCATGAAAAATGATAAAAATTGTCTCGCTACAGATGAGGCTCGTATGAAGGAGTTTACTTTGAAGAGCATGTGGAAGAGTCCAAATGGGACCATCCGAAACATTTTGAATGGTTAGTGATATTACACGTTGAAAGGATGATGAAACTGTGTATTTCATTGCATGTATAGCTTTTGATGTTCCTAACTTAATTTACGCTTGCTCCAGGCACGGTTTTCAGGGAACCAATTCTATGCAAAAACATCCCGAGACTGATACCAGGTAATTTATCAATTTGGGTGTTGGTGTTGGATCATGCAGGGGCGGACCTACATTCAAGTCCCCAGGTGCACGGGCAACTGCTCAATTGACTCGTAACAGTAGAAACAAATTTAGGGGCCTCAAGGTGCACTGCACCCACTTTAAATTGATGTGTGCTCCCTTGAGTTAACAAAAAGCGGCTGCAGCCTACTGGTAGCATCATTACCTGTTGTATTATATGTCACGAATTCAAATCCCTTAGGCTGTTTTTAATTTTTTGGTAACAGCAGCAGAAAAAAGAAAAAAACCACTTGGATGTTGCAAAAAAAAACCCTTATATGTCATTTTAAGTGGGACAGTAGTTTTTACAATTATTTTGTGTCCCCACTTGAAAAACTTTCAGGGTCCGCCTCTAGTTGGATGTCTTTTACTCTTATTATTGGGTGGCATGGAACTACAATGGTCTTTATGTGTAGGATGGACAAAGCCAATATGCATAGGAAGACATGCTTTTGGTGATCAATACAAAGCTACTGATGCAGTGATTAAAGGACCTGGAAAACTGAAGATGGTATTTGGTATGGTTATTGCATTCCTCTCTATGGACCAAAATATGGTACATGGTTTTTGTTTTAGTGTGTTTGAATACTAGATTCATATAATACTGAGATTATGGTTCACCATCGAACTAAAGAAAGCAAAAAAAGGTGATTTTGCGAATTTTTTTGGCTAGTTTGGTGAAGAACTCTTCGTATGATCATGCATCACATATATGATACTACCATTTGTCCCTTTGCCTTTATTTCTGTTTGCTCATGACACATGGGTGTGGATCTTGTATTCCAGTTCCTGAAGGACAAGGTGAAAACATAGATTTGGAGGTTTATAACTTCACTGGTGCTGGAGGGGTAGCGTTGTCAATGTACAACACTGATGAGGTAGTTTTGCAACTCGTTAGGGTTCCGTTAGTTCCTTTTTCAGCTTATTATTACCAATATCAAGTCTGAATTTTATGCTGTTTCATGAATAGTCCATTACTTCTTTTGCCGAGGCCTCGATGAACACAGCCTACCTGAAAAAATGGCCACTTTATCTAAGCACAAAGAATACCATCCTAAAGAAGTATGATGGAAGGTATGCTACATTCTTGGTTTACTTATGATTATCACGTCTCTTCTTTCACTTTGTAATTCTCTAATTATTATTGGTTACTGGTTTTTTTCGAAGTATATAATATTTATATACGGCAATGAACTCACACAAACTCCTCAAAAATGTGGTGAGGTTTGAACTCCTGGGAGGCTGGTCTCAACCTAGCACTGCACCCAGGATATTTGTCGAGCAGGTGCACCTTTAAGGTGGATCAGATGCCTGCCAAGTCGTCTGATATCTTTTTAGCTGAATTCCACCTTTTCGAGGGATTTTTTTTAAAGTTATTTGGTTGATCCCTTGTGTTTTCTAATAACCCCGAGCGCCGTACAAAGTTTAGCACCTTTTATATCCCCGCAAAGATTCTCCTTGCGAAAATCGATTGAGCGGGTACATGGGCCCTTTCTGGGGGCCTTCATAGGTCCACCCGTGGCTTTACCGATAACCTGGGTACTGCTAGGCCAAGGGCCCTTTGGTGATTGCTGGTTTTTTGGTACTACCATTCTTTTGTCTCTGGCTTTTTGATCACTGATCAAATACGGTCTTTAATGTTTTTTTTTTGTTTTTTTGATAAAGGTTCAAGGACATATTCCAAGAAGTTTATGAAAGCAACTGGAAATCGAAGTTTGAGGCTGCTGGGATATGGTGAGTAACTGAACATGTTTTCATGGTTCTTGATTTCTTTTCTTTTCTGTAAGTTCTTGCATCATCTTTTTGCTATCATTCACAGGTATGAACATCGCCTCATTGATGATATGGTTGCTTATGCTCTTAAGAGCGATGGAGGTTATGTATGGGCATGCAAAAACTATGATGGGGATGTGCAAAGTGATTTCTTAGCGCAAGGTACGTGTTTAAAGGCTTTCGGTTCACCAAATTCATCATCGTTGAATTTTCCTGTTCGATCTCCTCTTCATTTCTGTAATTTTGGAACTATGAACCTTCATAGTTCGTGTTTTCATGTCGGCCTCTTACGATAATTGATTTGATTTTTAAATGTGCAGGTTTTGGATCACTTGGACTCATGACATCGGTCCTGGTACACCTACTTTCTTTGTTATTGGTCTACTCTCGAAACATCTATATTTTCTTGACGGAAACAGCCAGAGGCGGATCCGTTTATTTTTTTCAATGGTAGCATAAAATAATTGCTATAATATAAAATAAATAAAATTAATTTAATTTACAATTTACAAGACAAAACACTGATAAATCAGTTCCAATTTCAATAATTTAAAGTTAGGATTTATGTGTAACACTATTATTAACCATTATAACTAAATTTTAAGCTTCGATATGCCTATTGTAGCCTCTTAATTCTTTAGCGACAGTGCGTGGTGGTAACACAAAAACGAAATTGAAGTGGTCGCACCATTAACGGTCAAAAAATTTACACTACGAAAGAATATTTTAGTGCATGTGCAACCACTTCTTTACACGTAGATCCGCTTTTGGAAACAACTGCTCTATCTTTTGAGGTAGACGTGTATATCTTACCCGCCCCAAACCCACCTCCGGACGGAATTCGTTCTGTTATGTTTTTGTCTTGTACTTTCACTTGGTTTATATCATTTTCTCGATAACCAAGTGCTATCTTCTGTATCATGTTCATACAAATGAACCGAGTGAAAGATTGTTTGTGCTTCACAATAGCATGTCTATACCTCTAACAGATTCTAATCTACGAAATATATGATTTAGGTGTGTCCTGATGGGAAAACAATCGAAGCCGAAGCAGCCCATGGCACCGTGACACGTCACTACAGGGTGCACCAAAAGGGAGGGGAAACTAGCACAAACAGCATAGCTTCAATTTTCGCTTGGACCCGAGGACTTGCCCACAGGTGTAGTAGTCATGTTTCTTTTCTTCACCAGAAAAAAATATACACAACAGATTCTCCAAAATGAAGATTTTTCCAAAATGGAGTAAAGCAGGAGAGAGATGATAAAATTCTCCAAATTCGGAGAACTCCTTAAATTAAAAAAATAGGGAAGAGATATAGTTTCTATTATTCCATTAATAAGATTATTTGAAATTAAATGCTTAGGCGATGCCAAACAGGAATAATTTTCTATTAACTGTATGGAATATATTTTAATAATATAATTAATGCTGAAATCTCTAAAATGGATAAACTGTTGGAGTTCATGTAATTGTTTAGAGATTTTGATTCTCTATTTTGGTGAAAATTTGGAGAATCTGTTGGAGATGCTCTAAGGGGTAAGCTCAAATCGTAGGTTCAAATGCCCTCAGGGCCATTGGACGGTTTTTCTGACCGTTAACTTCATGGTCCTATGGGATTAGCTGAGGTGCGTGGAAGCTCGCCACAGTTACCAAAATAATCCGTCAACTGTTATTGATTTGTACATGGTATGAATAAGCATCGTTTTGTGCAGGGCAAAGTTGGATGACAACGCTAAGCTTTTGGATTTCACCGAAAAGTTAGAAGCAGCTTGTATTGGTTGCGTTGAATCTGGCAAGATGACCAAGGATCTTGCTCTAATCATCCACGGATCCAAGTAAGTCACATTTGATTTTTAATTAAGCATCCCCCTCGAGCGTTGTTTATATCTCCACATTCTCTTTCAGGCTCAGTAGGGAACACTACTTGAACACCGAAGAATTCATTGATGCTGTAGCAGATGAGCTGAAAGCAAGACTCTCAGCCAAATAAATAATGAGTGTATGTATGATGAATTGATTTTTAGCATCAATCAGAGTAGAGATGCACAAGGCCGGTTTCAATCGGGCTTCTTCGATTATTAGATCAATAATGAACATGGAAATGCCATCATTATTTTTGTTAAATCACTTGTATTTTGAGCCGGAAACAGCCCTCTTTGTCCGCTTCTTCTAGACCCTATCTATCTATCTATCTATCTGTGACGTGATATACTGGGTTTATTTGGATTATATATTTGAATTTTGATAATTGATATCAAAATCATCTTAAAACATAAACTATGATAACATATTATAAAAGTTTCCAAGCAACTCATTTAAGGGTCGTTGCATGTTTGTATACTATTGACAGGGTCTTCCAGTAGGTTTTTTCAAGTTATATATATAAATTAAGTTGTATATAATGATCAAAAACTAATTAAAATAATTGTTTGATAAATATGTTGAATGGTTTAAGGTGCCAGAAGAGATTGCGGGTTTGAATTTGAGAGGGTTTTTCTTGTGGAGATTGATGTTTAATTTGATAAGGGCATTTGTGTAATAACCGTGGCTGAATGCATTGGATACATCTATTTTTGATGACCAAACAAACACTCGGCTGAAGCATTAAGCCGCCACCGAATATGGCATGCAACCTATTCAATCCATTAAGCCACAATCGAACAACCCCTAGTCTATCCATACATAAGTGGTAGATGTCTTTGAGTGTCATAAATAAAACCACTGCAACTTTAAGCAATTATACTCATACTCATTCGTCCGTGTCTAGAACGTCCAACTGTTTTGACCAAATACTTAAACGAGACTTCTAACTTTATAAAACTACAATTGTGCTTCTTATACGACTATCAAGTTCTATAATTAAGAAATGAGCAATAATTTCAGCGATTTACAATTAGCATTTTGTGTTTCAATATTATAACCATTAAAACTCAAAGTTAAATTAAGACATCTACCGTAGCATCTTAGTTTTCTAGTGATGATGCTCAATGGTAGCACTTTAAGGATTGTACGATAAAAAGTTAAAAAATTCATTCATCTGTAACCATTTCTTTACTTTAAAGTTTTTAATATAAATTATATATATTATATTATAAAGCATTTAAGTTTTTGTTTATAAAAATGTTAATTTTACAAGGATATCTACTAAACTACATCATTATTTTTAAATTTACAATGTTTAAATTATAACAATAATTTGAGTTAAATAAATAATTAAAAATCGATAATTTTATAATTTTGAATTTGACTCCAATATCGATATATTATTTTTTGGATTATCAATTTTCAAATTAATTAGCAACACATGTGTAACACCGGACTTTCGGCAAGTGAAATCCCAAGTTTTGTGGGTATTTTTATCTTTAAAATAGTTGTTATATAGTATCTCGAAAGTTAGATTATATTGAGTATCATCTTTTAGACAAGAAAGGATTCAGACGGGTGGGAAAGTAGGAAAAACACTTGGTTTGTGTCCAACGATAGTGCCATAGGGTACAATAGTATGTCAGGAACACCAGGACCACCAGAGAGAAAACTCTTGGAACATTACATTGTCAGGGTTGCCAAGTGGGGCACCTGCAAATTAAAATCCAATTTTCGAGATTAAACTTCATTTGGGCATAACTTTTTCATTTCTACTCCGTTTTAGGCGGTTTTTGTTGCTATGGATTCATATTTTGAAGATCTTGAAGATTAATACAAATAAAATTGAAGTTTCCTCGAAGATTTGGGGCTCCTATAAGTCAAAAGGTAAGCCTCTATCCAACAGTCTCTTAACCTAGGGTTTAGTTCTTTTCACCCCAACCCTAATTTCTTCTATTGGGTTTGTTTGTTTATGTTTTCGGAGTAAATGAACTGTTCTTGAGAAGCTATACATCTTAGATCTAAAGTCTAATTTGGGGATTTCAAGTCTTCACCAAAGGAAGCTCAAGATCTGGGATAAAAACTTATTTAGCCTAAATCTAGCAAGATGAGTTCAAGTTGCTTTGTGAAAACTATGAACATGCCAAAAATGTCCATTTTGAAGTATTAATATGTTTTACTTGATATTTAATCAAATGTGTGAGTTGTTTGGTGAGTTTTGCATATTTGGTATCTTTGATTTTATAAATCTCATGAAATACCCATATTTGGGATTCTTATACATTTTGATAAATAAATCATACGTGTAAGGTCTTCTGATGATTTATCTTATAAATGAAGATTATTTGGTGATAAATGCATTTGTAATGTAATTTGTTTGGAAAATGATATTGTTACGTTATGGGACATTTGGAAATATAAATGATATGATTTTAGTTGGAAAGTGGTTGTCCAAATGATATGATTTTAGTTGGAAAGTAGTTTTCCCAACCAAATATGGGTTTTGAGTTGATCATTCATTAGAACATGTGTTTGCATAAACGTTGGTTAAATACGTTTTTACTGATGACTTTCATGTAATAGTCAATTAAGTTGTTGAGGTTTTGACTCAGTTTTAACTCAGATGTGTCTTCTGGACAATTGTTCGATTTATTTGCTCTATGTCGAACTTTGGAGTTATATGCAGTTATGGCGTAATTATATGATATATTATATGGTTTGGTTGTTGTTGATCATATCTCTCAGTGATTTGATGATAATCTTTTTTATTCTATGCGAAGTATTCTTTGTTTCTGTCTTTTCAGTTCCAGTGATCTACACCGAGTCTGTTTAGTGATCGCTGAAGAACTTGTACTGTAAATTCAATCAGCGACAACAATACTTCAAGAAGACAACACTCACACCAAAGAACCTTCAGCCAATGTCGAAGACTGAAACTGAAGATTAGAGACTGGCGAGTACGTGATCTAAAGAGGTATTCAGTGATTACAAGTCTGTCTACATATGTGTGAAGACTGCCCAAGCCTCAGCGAATGCTGAAGAGACCTTCAAGTTATTCCAGCATTCAACGATCAAATGAAGCTTGCTAAGCACGATTGTTGTTGTCTTGTCCTTATACACACAAAGGACAAACTCATACCCTTTCTAAATGTTAGTACGGTACGGAGCCGATTAGTTGACTCTATGTCACACCCCGCTAAAGCGGAAACGCGAGGTATGGCAGGTAGAGTCTCATAGCAATAGTGTATAAACAACACAACCATACACTTTAAAACATAGTTACATCAAAACTAAAGTTTACAGTCCCAAATACAAATTTACAAAATAAACATAAAGGTAGTTTTGAAATCGGTAAATGTGACACGTCTTCAAACAAGTGTCACCGTGAGTCTTTCTTACCCTGAAAAGCAGGTCAAACAAGTGTCAACTACAAGAGTTGGTSAGTTCACAGGTTTTATATGCACAAAACGATTTTAAATGCAGCAATCCCAGTTATAAATTTATGAGCAATATCTTAAAAACAACATCGTACACATGATATAAATTTGTTGAGCCACTACTAAACCTACAAGCGCCCCACGAACTACCTTAGAGGTGGTAGCGAACCACATGTGTAGAACATACTTACGAACTACCTCAGCGGTGGGACTAAAACCCCACATGTGTAGAACTCATGCTGAACTATCTCAGTGGTGGGACTAACCCCACATGAGTAGAACTCCTTCCGGACTACCTCAGCGGTGACCACTTCGTGTCACATGTGTAGCACTCCTAACGGACTACCTCAGCGGTGACCACTCTTTGGTTCTTGCCTAAATTGTTGTTGGTCCTTTTCCACGATTGCTCCTCTAGTTTCCTCTTTCCACCAAATTTGTCTTGCTTTAAAAACCCTGATCTAACTGCATCATTTGTCAGACGGTTTGCCAACACCACTGCATTTTGTATAGTGGTTGGGCTTGCTGAAGTGACCATCCCTCGGATTTCAGGTGCCAATCCCCAAATATACCGATCAATTCGTTTCTCCTCTGGAGTGACCATACGAGGTACTAACTTTGTAAGCTTATGAAAACGGGCTGTGTATATGTCTATCTCCATTCCAATCATGGTGTGATTCCAGAATTCGACCTTCAATTTCTGAATTTCGCTCTTAGAACAATACTCTTCGATGAGTAACTTTTTGAGTTCTTCCCATGATAATTCATAGGCAGCTTGACGACCACGAGTTTGAACTTGTATGTTCCACCAAGTTAGGGCTCTTCCCTGGAGTTGGCATGTTGCATACTCCACCTTACTGTCCTCGGAACACTTGCTAATATGGAGTACCGACTCCATGCTCTCAATCCATGATAATAATCCAATTGCACCTTCTTTACCATAAAACTCCTTGGGCTTGCAAGACATGAATGTCTTGTAACTGCATCCTCTATCATTGGTGTTACGGTTCTCCTTTCTGGCGGGATTCTCGGTACTAGGGCCTCCTTCACTTCTTTGATTTGCATTAATACCTGCCGTGACCTGAGCGACAATAGTTGGTACTGCCTCTCGTATTTGTTGAGCTATTAACTGTGCTATATCAGGTGTTTGGCTTTCAGGATTTTCCCTCATGATGCGAGTATTCCTTCTTGGAGGCATACTTCTAATACACAGATTGTAAGTCGAAGTTCGGTTATTCTCATTATTTACCACTGTGTCGCCCGACATGATACAATCATCTAATCATGTAATCAAGATAATAACAACTTATACTAACAAGGCATTAAATCTATAATCAATAAAACTTAACTATCTATAGGCAAAAATCTCATAAATAAAATATAAACTTGCAATATAAAAGAAGATTGTTCACAAGCCACAGCTATAAGCCTCAAAAGAAAGTCTTAAAGTTCAACCATCAATAACTTAACAATTAAAATCTTCTAACGCAATAGACTCCAAATGAGCAACCCCATCACTATCATCAAAGCTCCTGCTATCACCGCCAAGTATATGTGCAACCTCCTGATCGCCCTCCTAGCTATGAAGATCCATCATACTATCTTGAGTGCCTAGAGATGTGATCACTCCATCTGCAAAGTGTCGATAGTGCTCCAGTCTAAGCTGACACATCTCCAAATCTTAAGATATACACAAAATCCACAATTTTTCCAGGGTAGTCATACCCGGAGTACCCTCTGATGTGGTCCTGGTAGCGGGTGGAGGTGTTATACTACGAGTGCGGGATTGTGATGGCTCCCTCACAGCTCCAGTTGGGGCGGAGAAAGTCATCCTCACGGGTGGGGGAATGCTCATTCGAGCRGTARCYCGAAATCTGGCTCCTTGTGGYGCTACAGGCTGTGCAGGCACAGAGCTAGGCGGTTGTGGGGTGGGTGACCGCGCTGAAGATTCAGTGGTATCATT